AGTTGTTTTGCCATATAAATTATTTGTACGGTAGAAAAAAATATTAGGGGTTCACCACCCTTAACGATGAGGGGGATGAAAAAAAGATGTTGTCCGATTCTCTACCCTGGCCGATATGCACACAAAATTTCACGAAAATCGGTCGAGTAATAAATACAGCTCCATTTTAATAGCAACTGTACATTGTTATTAACAAAACCGGTCAAGTGCGAGTCGGACTCGCACACGAAGGGTTCCTTACCACTATCTATAAAACCGGCAAAATAATCAAGCCCGTTGTATGGGAGCCCCACTTAAACATATTTTTATTACGTTTTTTAGTATTTATGGTTATATCGAGAACAGAAATAAGTACATCATCTGTGAAAATTTCAACTCAACACCGCGGTTTATGAGATATAGCCTGGTGACAGATGGACGGACAGACGGACAGACGGACAGACTGACAGAGTGACAGACTGACAGACTGACAGACTGACAGACAGACAGACAGACAGACCGACATATAGACAGACAGACAGACAGACAGCGGAGTCGTAGTAATAGGGTCCCGTTTTACCCTTTAGGTACGGAGCCCTAAAAAAATGTCTAACTAACTTTAATTATCTATTTGATTTTGAACAGTTCCTGATGTATCTCCAAAGTTCAAGGTCCAATAACCTCTGCCCATGAATATATTCAAGCCCTAAGGACTTTTTAGATGCACAACTTAAAAAAAAAGTACTTACCAGGCGAAACGCGATAGTATTAAAATTCGACTTTAGCCCGGTTTTCTGTGAAGCCGTGGTACTTCCCCGAACTAGTCTGCCCATTGGTGCAACACCAGATTTATTGCGTGGCCCTACCACGCATTAGCGACATTTTTGCTTTTATGTTTAATCTGTGAGTGAGGTAACAAAAGACCCACACCTGCAATATTTTAAATATTGCGAATGTCTATAAGTATATTTGTCTATCAACCGACTTCAAAAAAGGAGGAGGTTACCAATCCAGTTTTATTTTTTTAATATTGGTACCTCGGAACTGCGTCATTTAAGAACGCGATTTTTAAAATTATTTTTGCATTGCATTCGATTGAGTCTGTGAAGGCCCATATTCATTGGTACTAGACCTAGGACTCTAGAGAGGATCTTAGAATCAAGCAGATCATGTGGTGACATATTTTAAGTCGGTTTTGTTTTCTGTCAATAAAAATGTTATTTACGTTTTTATTCAAAAAATAACAGAGATTATTTAATTTCAAATGTATCCAAAACATTTTTCAGCCTTTCACTCAAATTTACGTGACGGCCGCGCGGCGTACGTAAATTCGATGCGATGTCGAACGACGATTTCCCGTAGTAGGGGAAATCGTGTTCTACAATTGTGTTCAACACCGAACTGTGCGAAAGGACAAACCGCATCGTTGGCCTTTGTTCGGTGAGTGGAAAGTGGACGGTTGGAATGTGTACTGTGCAGATTTTTGATTTTATTTGAATCGGTCAACAGACCGGTGAAATGCCAGTCTATATTGATGGCTCACGTGTTTATAACAAATGCAATGATTTTTTTCAGATTTGGTAAGGTTTATAGGCGTGACAGTGTGCGAAAAATGGAAAATTATCGATGTGGAGAATAGTTATTCGAACTCCCGATGAATTTTTTCTTTATTTACGATTTCATTTATAAAACACCAGTCGTTTTAAAAAGACTTCAAAGATATATTATCGATAGATTTTTATAAAGAGCCGCTCTTCTGAATAGTATTGTCTCGGATTTACTCTGCAAGTCGCTGTCATCTGTATACGACGCTGTCACTGCCGCCTGTCGCCTGTTTCGTGTATGTTCCTAAAATTGTGTAATATCGGCTCAACAGTGGCTGCAGCAAGCTCATCGCTCATAGAGCGCTGCCGCGCGCTCGATTGCTTTTGAAAAATGCGCGGCCATTGCGAACTGCGATACGTCCGTTACACATGGCGAGAAACGCGTCACGCGACGCGTACGTCACGCGCCGAATCCAGATGACACATTGGCACAGTTGGAGTCGAACCAAGGCTGTGATCCGTGAGCGGACGCCGCGCCAAGTGTAATATTTGCACTCGACGAACGTTCCTCCCGGCTATGTTTGTGGACGGACGTGTTGGTATATGTTAGAGGTTGGTAATGGAGTATGGGAATAAGGCGTGCGTGTTAAAAAAAGCCGGTTATCTATATTAATATCGTAGAGGGAGACATGTTTGTTTGTTAGAAACGACATTCTTTTTAAATACGTGCGATTACTATTTTTTTTTACTTCGAGTGGCAACCTAGGGGATGTTAGGTTTTGCAGGAGATTTTCCAACTATTGTGAAGGCTTCTTTTACTTCACTCAGTGGATGACATTAAAACAAATAAAAAAAAATTAAGGGACATATTTTTACATAACATAATCTTGTGCCTAACTAAGCAAATCTCGTAATATGGGTGATTGGTAACTAATAAACATAGTTTTTTTTAGAAATCAATACGTATTTTAGATAAATAAACAACCAAACACCAGAAAAACACCTTGTTCATTACACAATTATTTTCCTGTAATAAAGATCGAATCCACACCCTTGTTCACAAGAATATATAATTCTCACGTAATTTTTTTTTATTCCTCGAAGTTTACCTTTAGGGCATCCTTAAGGACGGTGCAGACTGAAGCGTTAACGTTTAAAACGATAGAACTATTTCAAATAATGCACGCGTTTTACGGCGGAAATCGTATCATCGATAAAGCGTCCAAAGATAGGTCATTCGCCGAACAAACGAGCTCGCATTAGGCGGCGGAGGAAATATCGCGAGGCACCCATAGCCCCGCGGCGGCGGCTTGCCACGGCCGTAATTATCCCCCGCTGGCCCTTATATAAACGAGGCCGGACGGGAGTTTTGATACGCGCCCATTCAACGCAACCTGCTGTCCGACCTCGCTTACGTAAGCTACACAAGCACATTTAATGGCACCGCTAACTGTTATGAAAGAGCAATAACAGATTTTATTATTGGGGTCGTATATAAATAAAGCTGAGGCGCGCTTGAGACGGAAACGAAATTTTCTACCGACTTTCAATTCGGTGGTGGTAAAACAGACGACCCTATTACTAAGACTCCGCTGTCTATCTTATGAACTACCAGTCGGCTTATGAACTGCGATAGTTAGTTAGTTAAAATTTTCACAGATGATGTATTTCTGTTGCTGATATAACAACAAATACTAAAAACCAATATTAAAAAGTATTTAAGTGGGGCTCCCATACAAGAGACATGATATTTTTTTTTCCGTTTTTATAGATAATGGTACGGAACCCTTCGTACGCGAGTCCGACTCGCACTTGGTCGGTTTTTTATGTTTTTTACTGCAGCACTCCGTCATTTATGTACCGATTTTGAAAAAACTTTTTTGCATTGGGTTTGTATAGGTCGCACGTAATCCCATACTAATTTTATTGATATTGAACCTTGGAATCTCATATGTATACCCACTTCAAGGTTTTGTTTATTAATAAAACTCTCCTTGTCCAATATGAAAACTCGCTACGCAAACACCCATATGCGACTACGGATAGCCACATAACCAGTGGTTTCGCAATTCCATTGTCAATTTAAGAGAGTTGCCACATTTACTCACATTGAATAAAGAGCTGTCCGAGCAATCTACAATATCGGAGCCCGGAATTCACTCAGAGATCTTTTCAAAGAGGTTAATATACTCACTGTTGCTTGTCAATACATTTATTGTAATGTTTTGTATATACGTCATAACCTTAATTATTACCTAAAGAATAGTGACAGACATAAAATAAACACTAGAAATAAGGACAAACTTACTACGCCATTGTTTCGTCTACAAAAAGTAAATAAGTCGTTCATGGGGCAAAGTGTGCGCATGTATAATAAAATCCCACAGTCGATATTAAGTCTGCCGCTTGACCAATTTAAATGTAAAATTAAAAATCAACTGATGATTAAAGCATATTATACCATTTCGGAATATCTCGACGACGCCAATGTGTGGAGTTAATACTGTTGATACTCACGTAGGCTAGAATAAGACTATTATACCTGTATATTGTACCCTGATATTTTTGAAAAAGAGCAACTGTTGAGTTTCTTGCCGGTATCTTCTCAACAGAAACCGCTTTCCGAACCGGTGGTACCTTACGAACCTATACACATAATCTTTGATGTAAAATTTGACGATTCATAAGAGCGCGCAAGCGTCTATTTGAATAAATATATTTTTGATTTGATTTGATTTTGATTGAGTGTGGCAAGGTGATGTTAAGGAATTGCAACACAAGTTATAAATGCGTTGCCAAACATTCGAAGGTGCCATTTGGTCCAGTATATTTTAATTTCGTAATTATTAATTAGCTCAGGCCACTTGAAAAGCACTTGTCATCAACTAAATAAATATATATTATTGACATATTTAGTATTGGTGTATTTAATCGGCTTGTAACAAACATTTAATCAATAAAGTAAAGCCCCCATATATGTTTACCCAAAGGGAATTGTGGTTCGACGAACCACACCGAAATTATTTTCATTGACTAAACTTGTGTTTGATGGAATCGCCTGCATTTGAAGGATTTACTGTATTTTGCTTTAAATGCTGAGTATTGATTAACCTGGTCTTTTAATCAGTTAAAAAAAATTATTGCTGTTTTACATGAATTCATTTCATGGATTAGTATTTTTTTGGGTACTCGACGATTGAGAAGTATGGCCGATGGTGAATGGTCACCGCCCACGACTTGCAAAAGTGTTGCCGGCCTTCCAAGTAAATAAGCCTCTTTTAAGGCTTCAATTCATATCGGTCCGGAACGGTGCACAGAATTTTCTAAAGAGCAATGAAAATGTTACGTGATGATTATCAATGTCGGCATGACACGACCTGTAGTACCACTTACGAAGGCGCTAAAAAGCTTGCTCGGTCTATCTGAGCACGTGTTGGGGAGAGCGCCTGCGGCCCGATGAATTTTAATGTAGATTTAGTTGGCGGCTTGGATCACCGGGGCCGGAACAATCCCGGGCGGGACGTGACTGGCGATCCAACGTGCACCCGGCACCGGGCTCTCGACTATGACTGATGTAATTAAATTCGTTTCGCGCGACTCTGCTAGACCTGATTGAAATTGATAAACAGAAACGGTTCATAGTCCTTCTACATTAATCCGTATACACATGCATGAGGATAAGGGAACATAATTTAAGATTACTAAGTGTTTTCAGAGAGTTATAGCCTATGTGAAGGTCCTTTACTTTTACTCTTTTAAAAGGCAACTTACAAAATCAGATATAACCTGCTGATGAAGGCGTCAGAAATGTCCATTTCTTTATTTTTAAATATACTCCCAATACAGCCCAATTTTCAAAAGGTTGTCAACGCATCTGCAACCCTGGGGCTTAGCAGATGTCTATGGGCGGCGGTATTCACTTAACATCAGGTGAACCGTCTGCTCGCTTGGTAATTTTTCACATAAAAAAAAAAACTCACCATAAGCATTAGTTGATTTGACATAAGGGAAAGTGACACCGTCGTGGTTTTTCGTGGTACAACGCAGCAGCTGCTTCTGTTGCACAAATGGCCATGCTCGTCTGGGGAACAGAAGTCAAGAGAAGAGAACAAACAGAAGGGGGACTCACAGAAGATTGGCGTGAAGTGGAAGTATTATATATTCGGGTCAGCAATGTATTTGTAAACCATCAAGCGCTGAAAATGTCCATGTGCGGGAGTAATCTCCCGGTGTTAGGGTCAGGTGCTAACGCCTGCTCGCATGCCAAGTTTTCACATAAAAAAAGCTTTGGTGATACAAAAGGGGTAAATTTAAAGTATTCGTAATCGACTGTATGCGTATTTGTACGGTCGTGAATGGTGCACAATAGCGTTATCATCGAGTCAAGAGTAACCATTTCGTGAGTTAACCGCTATCCGATAACAAACAGATAACCAGTCATGTTGAAGGCGTGATCTCAACAACGGAGAGTTTGGGTCTCCTGTTACTACTTTCCCAGTCAAGACGGCGTAGAGCTAGATAATAAATAATAATAAATAATAATTTAATAATAAAATAATAATAATTTCAGTACAATATTAAGTGCTCCATATTCAGTGCCGATTTTCCATCTACTCAAATCTGCAGTTTAATCCGTGGTTTTTCGCGCTGAAATATAAGAATCCCGTAAGCGCATTATAATTTTCCCCTTTGTTTTTCGATTCGAACTTATCGGTAAATCCCGAAACGTAATTTATGCGATATATTAAAACAACAAACCGCCACGTGCTGCAGATCGGAGCCTCTGATTACAGCGCTGTTCGCGGATAATCCCCGCTCTCCCGCGTCCTGTTAAATTCCCATATTCGCACACTGCGATCGTAATTATTTGCCTATACTTTCGTGCGGCCAATTTCGGTATACGCTACGCGAAATGTTCAATATTATGATCAGTAGTAAGTATTTTCCTATATTTCTTTATTTCCTCTCGGAGAATACAATTTCGGCGGAATGTATGAAAGAATTAAGTCTTTACATAAGTGGGAATTTGGTCAAGCGCAGGGAATTTTATTTTAAACAAATTTAAATACAGTGAAACGTCACACATATGTAAATACTATGATAAATACAGCATCTTGTAAGTACAAAAAGTCTACTAGGCCTTCCACTCCTTGATTGATGTTTATCCGTAGCCATTATGCTTGTGCCTTCTTTAAAACAGTTAGTCAAGTTCAAAATACGATAATGTGGCTAATTGGTATTGAAAAAAACTTCAAATATAATTTGTTGAATTACAACATTTTTTTGCTTATAACTTTTGTGGCTAAGATGTTAAGTGATAAAAATGAGATGGACTAATTTATCAGTAGCCGTCACTCGCAAAACGCAAAGGTATCGTTTTCGCGAAACATATCCCGGCGGGTTTTGGCGGAGTCAAAAACACGCACGAGCGGTTCAGGGCTAAAGCGCACGCAACAGTAGAGGCAGCTCATTTGTTCGGTCGCCCGAAGGCCCTTTATTAGAGCATCGCGTGACTCGGTTCACGCATTGTGCAGAATTGAACCCCAACTGCGCCGGCCTAACATGCGTTCGTGTCGGCTTTTTCCGCGTGGAAGTTTCGCCGTGGCTCCAGTACTCTGCTATTGAAAGGTCCATTGTGACGGTTAATTACGCGCCATTGTCTTCTTGCGGCGAGCGAAAACGGTTTCCCAGACGGATTCCGCCCAGGCGGCGTTATTGAAAATGAAGTTTTAGTAAACAGGAATAATTTTTTACACGGTGGCGTGGACGTGCGTTTTTTTTAATTATATTAAAAAATAGACACAAAGATTAGCCGGAACAGACAGACAGACAAAAATTGTAGTAAATGTTATTTTGGTATATGTACCGTGTATGCATTTAGTAAAAAGCGGGTACTTTAATACTACAAACAGAAACTCTAATTTATCCGTATAGATAGAGACAATTTTGGCCCCGCAACGAAATATACAATACTGTTAAATTCAGTAGGTGGCGTATTTTATATGCGTGTCGTTGGACCGCGTCATTGTTGTATTGTGCGGGCTCGAGTTAACATTAAAGAGCGCGCCGCAAAACGCCCACGCCTCGTATTTCGCCGAAAGCATCGAAACAAATAGGTCTACTCCAGACTTGTTTCGGAGTTGTGAAACGGAGCATAATAATTTAAACATTATTCTATTTAGCGCTACGATTTTTATTTAGAGCCATTAATATGCTTCGCTCCTTACAAGTTTTACGTGTAAGCTTGATAAGTGGCTTAAACTTTAACAGGAAACTAAGTTACTTTTTGAAGGGTAGTTACGTGATTATACGGCAAGTTAAGTTTATGTAAGGGCTTATAAACCTATTCACACTTTTAGGGTCGTAAGTTTGAGACAAATTATTGTTGCCACCGACGTGGAATGGGTGCTGTTATGTACCCAAACAATAATTTATTTATACATAAATTTCAATAGGAAAAGTCTTGGATATCCTGTGACAGTTCACTTCAGAGAAAAAGTAACTACCGACATATAAATTAACCATATATCCCACAGGTTACCCACTGTAGAACGTATATAAAACTAATTTTCTAATATTTTCTAGATACCCGTTTCCGAAGGGTGTTTTCCTTTATAACCTAGCACCTGGTATAGCGTTATAAAAAGGTTTATTTAACATTTTTACTAGCGCCGAAACCGAAATTAAACCTTCGTTTGTTTGAATATATCGAACTAGCTGCTGCCCGCGACTACGTCTGCTTACAATAGGCTGAAGGCGTAACGTTCAGACAGAAAAACAGATATACAAAAAACATGTATATGAATTATAGCCTAAGTCTTATTCTGATATATAAGCTAAATTATTGTAAAGTTTCATTAAAATCCATTCAGTAGTTTTTTATGTGAAAGAGTAACAAAAATCCATACATACAACCTGTCGCCTTTATAATATTAGTAAAGATAAGTAAGGATTAAACTTTGGCATTGACGGCGAAATATGTATAAACAATGAATATTTTAGTTTTTGTATTTGTAGCACATGTTTTGTATAAATTTTAGTTCTTCTCCTTGTAATTTCCTACTAGATGGCACTACAGTGTATGCTATGCCTATATGCTCAATTTATATCCATGAAAATTGGCATCAATAGGTATATGAAAATGCGATGAAATGAAAATTTTTTTTTGAGTTTGTACATATATAGTCACCGGAGCCAATGAAACTACTTGAAAAATTTTATTACCTTTTGACCGATAAAATCTTTCAGATGCAGATAGGTCTATTCATATCATGATTTACTTTTTAAAAAATGTGGCCAACTAACATCTTTTCGAACCTGAATGATTTCGCTATTATTTTAAAGTTCAGTCCTTGGCGTACAAACTTTTTCTTCACTTATTGTTATTGTTGCTAATTTTAATCTCATAACGACTTTATGTGATTTGATATTCAAATTAATTATATATATTAATTTTATATAGCTATACTTTTTTGTAGCTCTTTTTTTAATATATGTATGAACTGTTTTAATATGATGTGTAGATAGATTTGATTTAAAGTACTTGTTTAAAGGACACATTCTTATATAATTAGGTGAATAGCATTTTCATTATTTAGCTCTACCCGTATATATTTAGTAATTGGCGTTCCACGTTCCGAAATACGTGGAGTATGTCTTTCTCGACAAGGTCCGATGCACGGTCTGGTCTGTGCGACGTCTAGACACAACTGCGCGCCGTTTGAATGTTTGTACGCCCTATATTCTATTTTAATTGTGACGTGAATAACGCGCGCGTGTTGAACGATTAATAAAAGGCCAGTATTCGAGATTCCTACAAACCTTCTAATAGGTAAAGAAATTATATTCTCGTCATGTCATCGTTGCTACAGCAGAATGTATAAATATTTCAACAGATAATTTTCGTCTAAAATAAAATAAATGGAGAAAGTATCATATTTAATTTCTCCTGAAACAGTTGTTTTGTATTACAATAAACTTGTATGTTTACATTTATTTTTTAAATTCTACATGATTTAAATTAGACAATAAATAATTAACATCGCATTCATCTTTAATTTAAATTACCAACGAATACTTGGTTGTTTACGAATTCCACAAATAAAGGAAATCATTAATGTGAAATTAAGAATGTCTGTTGCCTCATATAAAATAATACAGCTACGTATTAATTTCTATTAGTAACAGAATTTTGTTAGAAGCGTACAATAAGTGTAACAACAATATTAAGGATTAAATTTCAATATTCGGTAATGATGGACGCGTGGCACATGGGAGAGCGACGTCCATTCAAAATTCGCACTCTTAAACAAATGAAAATACATAAAGCTCGGCGGTCCAATAATTCGGGGAATTTCATATTCGAAGCGGTGAAAGGCGCGGTCGAAAGCAAAACGTGTGTACATCCGATTATTTGGGCTTACATCGATTTTGTATTATTCGACAGAGCGCACGCAAATAGCATGTGAGTTGTTAACAGAATGATAATGAATAAATAATAAATTTATAACAAACTTCAAAAAAATTGTACGGATAAGGTAAATACACAATTACTCAATAGAATAGGGTATGTAATTATTATTACTCAATAGAATAGGGTATGTAATTATTATTGTGTGCAATAAAGAATATCAAGGTGACGGTAACTGGGTAGCTGATGATGGTATGAATATATCACGTGTCCCAAGGGAAGCCCATACATTACAGTTGACTGCTGCACGTTGATTAGAATAAACTGAGTTACTTATTATATTATTATATTATTGATTTCAATATTTCGTTAACAATCAGGAAGGAACTTACACGCGCTCAAGTTTTGTTCTTTATTTACGAGAAAACTGTGTTGAAATCACCGTGTTTATAACATATATTTATATGTATGTCGCAGGATCAAGATGTGGCGCTATAATTTGATTACAACACCCATTTATTGGTAGCTCTCGGAAACGTCAAGTAGTGCGCTTGAGTAAGGTCGATACAGGAAGTGAGAGAGCGGACTTGACGGTTATGAGTTGTGGAATTCAATTGACATCGGACACGGGGGTGTGTTCTGGACGTGCTCTGGCACGCCACTTAGAAAAGGGACGGCGGTGCGAGCGGTCATCTTCCTGTATCCAACTTGCTACGTTTCCATTCAATTACATCAGTGTGGTTAATAATTATGTTCGTTATTGTTGGTTTTAATCGAACAAGTAAATTACAATGAGGGATCTGACGAGTTATCCCATGTGATCCACCTATCTCCGACATATATATATATATTTTTTCGACATATATATGTATATATCGGATGTCGAAAAAATATAAAAAATATATATATATATATATATATATATATATATATATATATATATATATATATATATTTTTTTTTATATATTTCAGGACACATTACACAACATTCTCTAGTCTCAAACTAAGCAAAGCTTGTACTATGGGTACTCAAAAACTGATAAACATACTTAAACATACTTTTGTAAATAAATACATATTATAGATATATAAACACCCAGACACTAGAAAAACACTATGTTCATCACACAATATTTTTCCAGTAGTGGGGATCGAACCCACACCCTCTGACGCAGGAGGCAGGTACACTACCCACAACGACATTCGGGTCGTCATAACAGTATAAAGTTTTAAAGATAACTCTGTATTTGTAGGAAAATAAAACTCGTAAAGAAAGCGGTTACTAATTGATCAATATTGAAAAACCTTATATGTTTTTTCATGTAATATGTGGAATTAAATTTGCCGTGGCTCACTGGAAATAAGATTTTCATAGAACATTATAACTTATACATAAGGTTAGGCTTAACGTACTTCATTTTTTACACTTGGCTTCGTATTTTAATGATTAAATGTGTTAAACCGCTAGAAATGCTGCAAAATTATTTTACATATACGTTCACAATAGATCACCACAAACTGTACAAACAACTCTCAGTTTAATTTAAAATAGGCATGCTTATCACGAGAACTGTCTGAGTATTAAATTACTAGCATATTGCCACTAATTAATGGTCGTTTCAGTCGAAACCGTATAATAGCTTTTGATTTTGTGATAATTATAACATAATTTATTTCCGTTTTCTGATTCGTATTTTGATTTGACCGGACACAAAATACCTACATTTCATTGAATGCCTAACATAATATTTATTATATGGTATAAGATATATTAACATCAAATGCATTAGAGTGTGGTCTGAGGTGTATACCTGTGATTATGAAATTAGTTATTAATTGCTCCGTGGTTGGGCATTGATTTTGTTTGACAAATTGACCAGGTCTGCAAATACTAATACCAGGAACCAGAAGCAGTGAGCTTTCATAACCATCATAATTGTGTACCATGAACTGTGACAGGTCTATCCTGTGACACGGTTAACCTTTGTGACCCCTATTAAAAAGGGCTTAAAGTATCGATATTTATTCAAAATTTTACAAAATTTAAAGAATTAAATAATATTCTTTAATCAAGCATCTTTTCAGATATCATTCAATATAACATCTCATTAAAGGTATAACATAATATAAGCTGTATCAGTATATATTATCAAATCAATAGACAAAGTTTTTAATGACGTATTGTGATTTTTTGTTAATCAATGTTCTATTTTATTGCTATC